GTTTTTGATGCAAAATTTAAATGTTAAAGCTTGAAATAGTTTCCTTTGGTTTTTCCTACCTTTAATTTGGAGATAATTATGTCTGGTAAATAAAAAACCCAAGTATCTCCTGGCTATAAACTTTTTTTTATTGTTTCTACTGGTATATTATTAAAATGTAAGACAAAGTACGTTAGAAGATATTCTTTATTGTCACATCAGACCAGGTTAATACTATTTGCTCTTATGTAAGGAACACTAACCTTAGGAGTTTCAAGTTTTCATTTCTCTTGATCTGAAACATGTGCATCTTCAAATGGGATTTTTTGTCTTTTTAATTTTAATTTCCAATCTTCATGAAAAGGAAAGGAAAGAAAAATGTATATTCAGCTAAGTATTGATATTATTTTTTAATATCTAAAAACATGAATCGATGATAGAAAAGTTGAAATCCTGTTGTTTACTCCTTATGGATCATGTTAACTACTTTCCAAGTTATGAACAACATACATCTAATATCTAATATCCAATACTCTTTGAACAAATAAAAATATGTATATTTAAACAGTAGTTGATTGATTATAAAAACAATGTCAATATACCTGTTACACACAGGTGTTGACACTATCCTGGTATATAGGTGTACTGTACAGACAAGTTCTCTATCCTGGTATATAGATCTACTGTACAGACAAGAGTTCTCTATCCTGGTATATAGGTGTACTGTACAGACATGAGTTCACTTTCCTGGTATGTAGATGTACTGTACAGATGTGAGTTCTCTATCCTGGTGTATAGGTGTACTGTACAGATGTGAGTTCTCTACCCTGGTATGTAGATGTACTGTACAGATATGAGTTCACTATCCTGGTGTATAGGTGTACTATACAGATGTGAGTTCTCTACCCTGGTATATAGGTGTACTGTACAGATGTGAGTTCTCTATCCTGGTATATAGGTGTACTGTACAGATGTGAGTTCTCTATCCAGGTACATAGGTGTACTATACAGATATGAGTTCACTGTCCTGGTATACAGGTTTACTGTACAGACATGAGTTCACTATCCAGGTTTATAGGTTTACTGTACAGCCATGAGTTCACTATCCAGGTTTATAGGTTTACTGTACAGACATGAGTTCACTATCCAGGTTTATAGGTTTACTGTACAGCCATGAGTTCACTATCCAGGTTTATAGGTTTACTGTACAGACATGAGTTCACTATCCAGGTATATAGGTGTACTGTACAGACATGAGTTCACTATCCAGGTATATAGATGTACTGTACAGACATGAGTTCACTATCCAGATATATAGATGTCTATTGTTGTACTTAAGTTAGGTGCATGCACCTGTCATTTGATGGAAACATGCATGCTGTAGGTACATTCATGAATCACATTCTGTATTGTATGTATGGTATTTGTGGTTTAACATGGGAGCGGGGAAGGAGTTGTTTGGTTGACAGTTACATGACATTTAATTGTTAATGTGAGATTCTCTTGGAATTGTGCACTGCACTTGATCATTTTTTCTTGTGGAGAGAAATCAAAAGGAGGAAGGGAAATTTATTTTGTGTTTCCTCTTTCCTGACACCTTGAAACATTAGACATCTGGCAAAATGTCTTGCATAAGATGTTGCAGGTAATTGGATATTCAAGCTTTAATGTACTCACACTGTAAACACAATCTCTCCCTTATACAATGTACATAGTTTTGATGCACAAGAAAAAAAGAGCAAATTTCCAGATTATGTTCACATGGCATGTAAGTCCTCATTTTTACCCTGTTTTCCCACCTCACAATCGTTATTGTCCTATTTCGGGTAACCTGAGTCATTCATGTGGAATTGTCAATGGCTTTTGAACAATATTAAAGTGAAAATAAACAACAACAGTGTACAGGTTGCTGGCTAATACAGAGGTGATTGAAACTGCGCAATTACAATTTCAGTGTAATTCAATAAACCTGATAACACTGACACTAAAGTACTGTAGATAATTCCTTGTTAATAACATGTGTTGATAAGTCAGATATTATATATTGTTTCTAGATAAACTAGATAATGCCTTGCGTGTAATTATTTTGTGTTTGTTGTATAAAGCTGACTAGAGCCCTCATGTTAAAGAACACCAATAATCTAGGGACTACCTTCTTACCTTACTGATTACATATCAGATTTGGATCCCTCCACAGATATTTTTGGTCTCTCAGTGGAATTCCTGATGGGAAAGGCCCTGATTGATGCAGTGATTGAGTAAATAATCTATTTTTGGAAGAAACAGAAAAAAGATGAAGGAGTTTGGAATTTGTTTGTTGTTATAAGTATGTATTTATTGACATAAGTTACCATCTCCAACATTTTTTGTGTTTGAGCACTTAGAAGTCATGCCTATCAATTGGTGTCTGGTTTTATGGAATGAGTCTGCTACAGGTTTTGTAGTAATCATTCTTGAAATATGCATGCCTTAAAGATTAAAAAGTAAAATACAAAGCTCTGGAGATAGTGGTAATATTTAACACTGGAATGCTGGACAGTCATCTTTTAATGTGTAACCACTTACAATAAAATCCTTTAAATATCTGTAAACATCCAGTTCTGTTCTATATCAGCTTTTACTCTAGGTAGATAAACAGGATTTATGCTGTTTGCTATTAACACTGATGTCCATTGATGCAAGACAGCATTGTCTTGCTGGAGACAAAAGGTCTGGTCACCCTTTTAATACAGTGATGTCTAGGTCCATTCCTCATCTAGGCCAGGAAAGGGCATTAGGCCTACTGCCTTTAGCTTAAGTCCAGACAGGTAGTATCATTAGGATAGGTATGATCCTGTCTTAAGTCAATTGACATAAGGACTCAGTAGTTCTTTCTAGTCCATTGACATAAGGACTCAGTAGCTCTTAGTCCATTGACATTAAGACCCAGTAATTCTTTCTAGTCAATTGACATAAGGACTCAGTAGTTCTTTCTAGTCTATTGACATAAAGACTCAGTAGTTCTTTCTAGTCCATTGACATAAGGACTCAGTAGTTCTTTCTAGTCAATTGACATAAGGACTCAGTAGTTCTTTCTAGTCTATTGACATAAAGACTCAGTAGTTCTTTCTAGTCCATTGACATAAGGACTCAGTAGTTCTTTGTAGTCCATTGACATAAGGACCCTGTAGTTCTTTCTGGTCCATTGACATAAGGACTCAGTAGTTCTTTCTAGTCCATTGACATAAGGACTCATTAGTTCTTTCTAGTCCATTGACATAAGGACTCAGTAGTTCTTTCTAGTCAATTGACATAAGGACCCAGTAGTTCTTTCTAGTCAATTGACATAAGGACTCAGTAGTTCTTTCTGGTCCATTGACATAAGGACTCAGTAGTTCTTTGTAGTCCATTGACATAAGGACCCAGTAGTTCTTTCTAGTCCATTGACATAAGGACTCAGTAGTTCTTTCTAGTCAATTGACATAAGGACTCAGTAGTTCTTTCTGGTCCATTGACATAAGGACTGAGTAGTTCTTTCTGGTCCATTGACATAAGGACCCAGTAGTTCTTTCTGGTCCATTGACATAAGGACTGAGTAGTTCTTTCTAGTCCATTGACATAAGGACCCAGTAGTTCTTTCTAGTCCATTGACATAAGGACTCAGTAGTTCTTTCTAGTCCATTGACATAAGGACTCAGTAGTTCTTTCTAGTCCATTGACATAAGGACTCAGTAATTCTTTCTAGTCCATTGACATTAAGACCCTGTAGTTCTTTCTAGTCCATTGACATAAGGACCCAGTAGTTCTTTCTAGTCCATTGACATAAGGACTCATTCTAGTTCAATGACATCAGGACTGTTGCCCTGTCTAGTTCAGTAACATTAGGAATGTAGTCCTATCTAATCCAGTGACATCAGGACTGTTGTCCTGTCTAGTTCAGTAACATTAGGAATGTAGTCCTATCTAATCCAGTGACATCAGGACTGTTGTCCTGTCTAGTTCAATAACATTAGGAATGTAGTCCTATCTAGTCCAGTGACATCAGGACTGTTGTCCTGTCTAGTTCAGTAACATTAGGAATGTAGTCCTATCTAGTCCAGTGACATCAGGACTGTTGTCCTGTCTAGTTCAATAACATTAGGAATGTAGTCCTATCTAATCCAGTGACATCAGGACTGTTGTCCTGTCTAGTTCAGTAACATTAGGAATGTAGTCCTATCTAGTCCAGTGACATCAGGACTGTTGCCCTGTCTAGTTCAGTAGCATTAGGAATGTAGTCCTATCTAATCCAGTGACATCAGGACTGTTGCCCTGTCTAGTTCAGTAGCTTTAGGAATGTAGTCCTATCTAAACCAGTGACATCAGGACTGTTGTCTTGTCAAGTCCACTAACAATAGGACAACACTCCTGTCTAGTCCTGTTGTATTTGGCCTGTAATCCTGTCTAGTCCAGTGATAGGAGGTATTCAGGGAATTATTTTTAGGTTTAAAACTACAGATTGCATGTTTGATTAATTAGCTTAATATGACATGAATCTGTGTTTTATTGTTGTTCATCATAATATAACAAATATTGTAATCTTTAATAGAAACAGAAGACACTATATTGATATGCCTTTGATGGAGGAGTACTACGTCAGTCAAAAGTGGCAGGAATTCAAATTCTAAAAGAAGGAGTTTTATTGCTTTTTCTCCAGCAAATTGATAGACAATATAGTTGTATGGTATGTTTCATATTGCCAGGACATGTTGAGATCATCTTGATGTAAATTGTGGAATGTCTGATTTAGCATAGATATAATCAGGCTCCAGTAACATCAAATAGAATCTTAACTTGTTTATCATGTACTTCTGTGGTCACTTATTGGTGTATGTTGTCCTTGTCCAGTACCTTGGTAATCCTCTGTCGATGTTGTCCTGGTCCAGTACCTTGGTAATCATCTGTCGATGTTGTCCTGGTCCAGTACCTTGGTAATCATCTGTCCATGTTGTCCTGGTCCAGTACCTTGGTAATCATCTGTCGATGTTGTCCTGGTCCAGTACCTTGGTAATCATCTGTTGATGTTGTCCTGGTCCAGTACCTTGGTAATCTTCTGTCCATGTTGTCCTGGTCCAGTACCTTGGTAATCATCTGTCGATGTTGTCCTGGTTCAGTCCTTGGTAATCCTCTGTCCATGTTGTCCTGGTCCAGTACCTTAGTAATCATCTGTTGATGTTGTCCTGATCCAGTACCTTGGTAATCATCTGTTAATGTTGTCCTGGTCCAGTACCTTGGTAATCCTCTGTTGATGTTGTCCTAGTCTTTAGTCCATTACCTGTTTATATTTGTATACCCAGTTTATATAAATATGTAAATAAAATGCCTGTAGCATTTTCACAATGATATTTATCATCAAAGCATTTTTTCCCTTATGGCTTAGTTGATGTCTCCAATTATTGACTTGTTGTTCCTGTTTTTGTCTGTTAACTTTATACAGGTGATTTATATCTGTTTTATAGTATCTGTCTTAGTATCAATGCTGGAAGGTCATTCTCCAAATAACAAACACCATTAATATTGTATCAAAAAAAGGGAGAGAAGAAAAATAGAAAACTTTACAGTTAGCATCAGTGTTAATAGCAGACATTGTTAACATTGTAACAAAAATAGAATTCTTTACATCTAGCATCTGTGTTAATAGCAGACATTGTTGACATTGTAACAAAAATAGAATTCTTTACATTGTTGACATTGTAACAAAAATAGAATTCTTTACATCTAGAATCAGTGTTAATAGCAGACATTGTTGACATTGTAACAAAAATAGAATTCTTTACATCTAGCATCAGTGTTAATAGCAGACATTGTTAACATTGTAATAAAAATAGAATTCTTTACATCTAGCATCAGTTTTAATAGCAGACATTGTTAACATTGTAATAAAAATAGAATTCTTTACATCGAATCAGTGTTAATAGCAGACATTGTTAACATTGTAATAAAAATAGAATTCTTTACATCTAGCATCAGTTTTAATAGCAGAAAGCATTGTTAACATTGTTAATAAAACAGAAAGCATAGTGTTAATAGCAAACAGAAAGCATCTGTTACATCTAGCATCAGTTTTAATAACAAACATTGTTAACATTGTAATAAAAATAGAAATCTTTACAGTTAGCATCAGTGTTAATAGCAAACAGAAAGCATCAGTGTTAATAGCAAACAGAAAGCATCAGTGTTAATAGCAAACAGAAAGCATCAGTGTTAATAGCAAACAGAAAGCATCAGTGTTAATAGCAAACAGAAAGCATCAGTGTTAATAGCAAACAGAAAGCATCAGTGTTAATAGCAGACAGAAAGGATCAGTGTTAATAACAAACACTGTTATTATTGTAACAAAATTAAAATCTTTACAGCTAAGCAAACATGATAATAAGTATATAGTGGCATCAATCATCACAAAGAACTCTGAGCCAATAGGAAGCTATATTGAAGGAGTGATCAATGGTTAGGGAAATGTACAGATTGATTTTTTATCTGGACAAATGGATGACCAAAGGTCAAGGTCTTTATAGTATTTTGTAGTCAACAACAGTATGATGTTAGAATTATGACTATATGTTTTCTGTGTATTAGTGAATTCTAAAATGTGTGTTTCTTACTTAAATTCTATACATTATTACATACTTCTATCTTGTGTCAATTGGTATTATCCAATAAACATAAAAGGTTGAGACATATGACTGACAATATTAAACATCACTTAACCCAAACAACTTTTAACACTCTTTAAATATAGACTTGGCCTTTTGACAGATACACATTTGCATGTTTGTGTGACTGAGCAAATAACACTTGTGTAAATAGAACTCTAAAGCTTTTGTAGTCTGTTAAATCGACCTGACAGACCATCACCTTAATAGGGTCAGTAATATGAATCAGTCTTAAGGGCCAGTTGGTCTCATACTTAGATTCTGATTAGTAGGCTTGTTCATGAAAATATTGATATTTTTGTAGAACGTTGGAGAGTTAAAATTCTGAAAAGATTTCTGCACATTTAAACCTGACATTAATGTACTGAGTCGAAAAAGGTTTCTTTATGTCCCTTAGACTCAATAGGAACTCTTCTTAAGGGACATTGTCATGAGGTATATCATAATCTTAAAGTATATATGCATGTGTTGAGTCACTGCCGTCAGTATCAGTGTCATTTGCTACGTGTGATGACCAGTGTAAAATCCAGATTGTGTTAATTAATTGAGGCATGGCCTGGGCATACCACCACCTAATTAGTTGTCACATTTAGCCAGTCTTTACGCCAAAAATTTCACCAGACATTAACTGGAGTATTCTGACAGGAGGCCAAATGACTAAAGACCTCAGTGTGATGTGTTGTGGTATTGATATTAGAGGGTTCCATTTGATGAATTGTTTGCTGAAACTATTTGTAAAGTCCTAAGTCTCCATGTCTGTTCAGCTTTACATCAGCAACAGGTAAGATACCATTTTCAGGGTTATTAGAGGTCTATTGTTTTACAGACTGCGTGTACATAATGTATATGTTGCACACCGTGAAGTGTCTGCCTGAAACCAATTCACATTTGCAACTTTTAAGAAACTGCTAAAGTTACTTTAAAATTGCAGGGCGCTTTCAAATATATTGGCTGAAGACAATTACCAAATATTTATATAAACTAAATAATACGGAGATAAATGAATCTTTTCACCTTCTTCATTGTTTCCAGATAAAGTAAAATATAGAATAATCTTTGTTCATGTAGATGTCTAAAACTGCTAAATCAAACATGTGAATTTCTTTATCTAGTGTCCACATAAAGTTGAAACTTGTCTCCAAATAACTTGAGTCAAAATAATCTTCAAGTCCTATTTTTTCTCCATCTTTGCCTTTTTAATTTAAGTTAGGATGACTCAAATTTCATTGAGTTGAAAACATTAAGGTTGGTTGCGTGCATATTCAGGAACAAACAAAATAAATAAAAACAAAATCGTCAAACCAGATTTTTTGATGAAATCTAATCCCAAAAATTCTGAGAGAAACTAATTTTGAACTTGTTTGTTTACCAGAGGACCGTTGATGGGTACTTTGTTAGATTTAGTGCTTGCATGGACTATAAAGAACTGAAAGTACTTTTCATTGATACAGTATCTATCTGTGCATCTCTTGTTCAGTCTAGTGCTTGTAAAATGTTTTCTGTAACAGGTAAAAACTTTCTAGTGCCACGTTTTTATCTGTTTAGTCATTCATACAAAAGTCATGGTAATATGATCTTTAGCTTTATACATTGTTTCTAGTAGAATTCAAAAGCAAATTTTATTTTTGTTTTGTCATTCCGTAAAATATGATCTATATGTGCTTTGTCAGTAAAGGGAGTGTGCTTGTGTGCTGGACGGAATGACATTAACACAGATGTAGTTGATTGGTGTTGTTATTGCATTTTTTGTTGTTTGGATGAATAAAACAAGAAAGCTGTCATAGCCCTTCTTTGTTCAGCTGGAAACTGATATCTTCAACCTTCTTTGGACACTTTGTTTGAGTCTAAATTTGGATAAGTTAAAGTATTTTCTACAGTAAAAAATTTTGAGAAAAAAATTTTCGACTGTATATTGGTCACTGACCTTTTTGCACCTGTATGTGCTTTGCATGCACATTATTGCATATATCAGTGTTACTTTCTCTACCCAGATCCACACCCAAGGCAATGTTACTACCTCCTTAAAAAACAAAACCATAAAAGTCTTTTGAGAAACCTCTCCTTCATATTTTATACTTACATCAGCTGTATCTGTATTGCATTGTTGACGTCTCCCCATTCCCACCTCCAACCCTCAAAAAAATGTAGAATCAAGGAATCAATCAGCTTACAGAAGCTATCCTTACAGTCTCTGTATGGTTGTGTTCACTGACACTTTTGTTTACTTGTGTGATGTCTGTCCATCAAACCTTATTTTCAGTCACATTACACCTATTACAGAAACCTCTCCATATTTGGAACCAGAGCTACACTGATCTCATTTTTGATTGGTTGAAAGTTCATTGGAACCTGTCCAACCATTTAACAACTGTCTGTTATTCTCATTGACCTTTGTCTGGAGGCAAGATTTTTTTTTAAAAATTGCATGCAACAATGAACATTTGATAGAAGTACTTATATACATGTATTTCTACACTATACCTCCATTTGAAAACACGTGTCAGGCGTTAAAAGTTGACACTCTGGAATAGATATGGGTAACACAGGCAACCTGAGGTAAGTCAGTATTAAAACTATTACTGATACCAAATATTACCTGGAATTACATGGGTATACTGTCATATATAGACTAGCCCAATCATTTTACCATACTTTTCCTTTGGTATAAGAAATATGTTTTTTTTCTTGTCTGCTTTTACTTACAGACAGTATTGCAGGTAGGAAGGCACCATGCTCTCTGGATATATTTTCAAAGTTACCTTTTCGAAAATAGATATTGAACTTGCTCAATAATCAGATCTTATAACTATCAAGATGAAATTTGATCTTTTTTCAATTCTAGCTCAGGATAATAAAACTGCGTAAAAGACAGTGCTTGTTTTTCAGTCATATGATCTTGAAGCGTTTTAAGGAGTGTTGTATGGAAGTCAAAGAGCATTAAGATTTTAAATGTAAACAAGTTAATTCTGTCTTTGGTTCATGTTCTTTTATATTGCCTAACAAAAGACTGGAGTATTTAGTCGGTCAATGTGTATCAGCCATGTTGTTGTTACAAAACACCCCGTATAATGATTAACATGCATGGCTTATATTGATATACATTGACTTCATTACATATGTATTTATCAAAACTAGGTCTGATGCAAAATTATAGCCATGCATGCATGTCACTTGACAGGAACAAAACTTCTTTTGATCACCAGAAGGTGTGTAATACTGGCCATGAAGACATAAAATTTAGACAGGTTTGCCAGCAAATGTAAGGATACCACTATAGATACTCGGCATGCTCTATAAATGTGCGTTTGTGTATTTTGTCAGATATATACTTCATCACTTACCATCAGGTTTTGTCAGGCTCATTTATTTTGGCATTCGTTCAAAAATGAAAATTGAAAGTATTTCAAATACCTGTTGTTATCTTGGTGTTTAGTTATTTTTTAACAACTTGAACGCATATTTTCACAAATTTTTGAACCAATTATTTTTAATATTGTATGGTCACAAGTAACACAGTTTATTCAGCTATCAGAAGAATTTTATCGTAAAATGTGAAAATTATGATGATTGTCGTACTTATCGCATCTTATAATACATTTTACCTTGGTTTAAAATAGAAATAAAAATGACAAAAAATTCTTTGGGTAAAACTTATCAAGATTTATCAACTGCCAACTACAAAATGGCTGAAAGTTGCACGGCAGTCTATCTACTATATGGAAATTGTTCTGCTGCTACACTCTTGCTGTCAATTCCTATCATCAGTGTCTCTCAAGGAATTTAATAATATTTTAGTTATGTTGTTTAAAAGATACTAGGACAGTTTTGGTGAATTCATAAAATTAAAAAGAAAAAAATATCTGTAATCTGTGTCTTGAGGCTTTTCATATGAATATATGAATACATAGCAACTGAATTAATCCCATCATGTATGACAAACTTTGGTCAGTTCACCTCAAAATGTTTTATAACATTATAAGCTGTACATGGTAGAATGCTACTTTGGAATGAATACATCAAAGTCTATAAAATGGTACTTGTTTTGTAAATAGATACAGCAATGATCTAGTGTATCAGCCAGTCAGTCATACATAATACATGTGCTGATTGATTATTATGATGAATAACTAAAACATGCTGAGCAGAAGATGTTTACAATTTGTTGTCACACCTGGACATATTACCAACCTGGATTCTCAGCATGTCCAAGTCACCTTAAGGCCACTAAACTTATTGAAGAGATGGCTCAACAAAAGGCCACTAAAGAGACATCAGGTTCACCCCATGGCCATGTCACATCCACAAGGCCATCAGACACTCCCTCAGGTCTGATACACTCTTTCTGTTCCAAGATCACCAAATACACCATCTGGCCACCTTCACTGACAGCACAGGCTGATCAAAATCAGGACTTGTCAGAATCAGGAATGCATGGTCAGTTCTAGTGTTATCCAGGAGGCATATACATATGTTATGTGTTACAATCAGACTGTCATATGTAAACATTAATAGTTTTGCTGCTTATCTGAAGTTAGATGGATTATAAATCAGAGTTGTTGACTAAGATACAAAGTACTGTATCATGGCTGATTTACTCATTATGTTTAGGGTGCAAAAGTACTTGTTGTGGATGGACAATGAGGAGTTTCTGAGAAATAGAACAATCTGGGCTCTGACATACATAAAGGGTTCAGGTAGGGAACAGCCGTTATATTGATTAGGGGAAGGAGTTGTAATTTCAAATATATATATATGATATGGTGATGCCTACAAAAAGTATTCCAGACAGAAGTAGTTGGAACAGCGTTCAGTGTAAGAGGGGAAGAGGAAAGATGTAGAGGCCATTAGGGATCGGAAGTATTGGGGAGAGGACACACAGATCTATTGCTCAGAAAGAGTCAGACATAGTGGGGAGGGTAGGCAGATATAAGGGTCAGGATAGGGGCCAGAAATATTGTGGAGGATGTAGATCTGATGTCAGGATTAAGGGTAAGAAATATTTGGAAGGGGGATGTTACACTGGCATGATTAACTTATTTATCAGTTTCCTATGTTGAATGTTAGAGGAAAAAACAACTGAATTAGTTATACTAGAAGATGGTGACTATCCAAATGAAAGTCCATCTCTACATTCTATTGTATAGCCTTAAGCCTTACTGAACATATCAATTCCCGGTAATTGTGAACGACACACATCCCAACTCTACAATGACCTACTTTCTTCACTTATTTTCCACCAAAGAAGAATAAAAAAAATGGGAAATAAAATTTGTAGCTAGTAACATGTATGTAATATTTATTTTACTTTACATACTGAAATGAAATGCCTCGCTGCTCTAGATGAAAAATGATACTATGTCCCTTATAATCATGTAACAGGGGCTGACAATCCATATTTATAGAAATGTAGAAAGTGACAATTATCAGCTCTGTTTATAGTTGTTTTTTTATGATCTGAATGTACATTTTTGATTCAGATAATGAAAAACAACTTGACAAGCATCGTAAATCCAAATTAGTTTTTCCTTCTTCAACAAATTATTTGTTAAAATGCTCATGTGCTTTCTGTGGCAGCAATAGATAAATTTGTCACAAACAAGCATTTTCAAGTTTTCTGAAAATACCTGATTTATTAATTCATTTTTTAAAAATGTCTCCAACAGGCTGTGGTAATTGGAAATATTGATGATATGATATGGCCCTGTTGATTTGTATGATCTATAGACTACAAGAAGACAGTGCTGGGCTGAGAAGTTGTAATTCTATAGATCTAGCAGTTGATTTTTCCAAATATTAGAATGTTAATGGAGCCTGTTGCTTTGGAACATCAATACCACACAGCAGACTTAAACATTTCAGATAAAATGCCGCCTGGTTTGTTATCTCTCGTAAAACAGATAGTCCCTTTACATGTCTGGGAGTGATGAGTGACGTCCCATGTCTGCATTGCAGCAAGAATAGAACAGAAAAAGAAATAAGCTGACACCATTGATTTAATTGGCTCCATTGATTTTCATTCCTGCACTGTTGTCTGTCTCATTTTTTTTATTCATGACATATTGTTACAGATTTTGTATAATTGACACTTGTACCATGTAATTGTGACGCTATGTTGACACTTGTACAATGTAATTGTGACACTATGTTGACACTTGTACAATGTAATTGTGACGCTATGTTGACACTTGTACCATGTAATTGTGATGCTATGTTGACACTTGTACCATGTAATTGTGATGCTTTGTTGACACTTGTACCATGTAATTGTGATGCTATGTTGACAATTGTACAATGTAATTGTGAGGCTATGTTGACACTTGTACCATGTAATTGTGACGCTATGTTGACACTTGTACCATGTAATTGTGACGCTATGTTGACACTTGTACCATGTAATTGTGACGCTATGTTGACACTTGTACCATGTAATTGTGACGCTATGTTGACACTTGTACCATGTAATTGGAGGTGAGGGTGTGTGTGTGTGTGTGTGAGAGGGTGAGGGTGGATGTGGTCTTGCATATGAGTATGCTACATTAATGTATTATATAATATATATGTTTATGTATATATTCTACTTTTGTGCCTATGAGTCGTAAGGCTCGGGGCTAATGAAGAAAGAAAGAAGACACTATGTTGACACTATGGACACTGGTACAATGTAATAGTGACACTGTATGGACACTGGTACAATGTAATAGTGGCACTGTATGGACACTGGTACAATGTAATAGTGACACTGTATGGACACTGCTACAATGTAATAGTGGCACTGTATGGACACTGGTACAATGTAATAGTGGCACTGTATGGACACTGGTACAATGTAATAGTGGCACTGTATGGACACTGGTACAATGTAATAGTGACACTGTATGGACACTGTTACAATGTAATAGTGACACTGTATGGACACTGGTAAAATGTATTAGTGACCTTGTGACACACTCGTGTCATTTTACAGTAAAATTATGTAGGCACAGGTACCATAAAAGTGATATGTACACTTCATATCCTTTTTCCACTATAGGAAATCCCTACTATGTATGCACAACATAATAAATGTAGTGTTTGGAATTCCTTATGTCTTGTGTTTTGATGGACAGAGTGACATCAATAGTTGAAGTACTGTGGTTAAAAAAAGAGAGATGTTTATTTAACCTGAAGTCTAAGTTGACACTGAAGCATGAAATAGTTTTAGTATTAAGTGGTTTTAGTTGTTTTTGTCATTATATAATTCATTCTGACAGCTTACAGACAAATATATTGTATTCAGGATAATGAAGACTTCTGGTGAAAATTGTTTTTAACAAACGTACCTGACTCTTATAATGATGTCCTTGGATAATTGTTTCACTTTTGTGTTAATATTGATACAGGAAACAGTCCAGGTCACTATTGTTACATTAAGTGACCTTGACATAGGTCATATACTCGCCTGTATAGATTCCAGTGTAGCTGCAGTGCCTTGTATATTGTGAAAGGCTAAACAGCCTGTGATCTCCATTATCTAACTCCAAGCAATTTCCAAACAGCTATTCTGTAATTCAATTCACAGCCTAAACCTGCTGTCTGAGATTTTCAACTGTTCCCATTTTCGGCCTATTAATCTCCTAAAGCCCACCCTGTTTCATGCTCTAACTGCTAATCTTTTAGATCTCACCCGCTATAATTACTATTCCCTTCTGCTAATGTCCGAAACCTACCCATATTCACTTCCTAACCTGCTAATCTTCTAAGTCCACTCTATATCTCCTTTCCAACTTGCTTCTTTTTAAATCCACCCCTTTTCCTTCCTTAAACCTGTTAATCTCCTAAATCTACCCTATCCCATTCCCAACCACTAAATTTCCTAAACCCACTCCATTCCCTTCCCAACCTTTTATATTTTCTAAACCCATCCTGTCACTTTCCTTAAATCTACTAATCTCTGAAGCCGACCCCATTGTTTTCCTTAAATCTGCTTATCTTTAAAGACTGCCATATAGGTTTCCTTAAATCTTCTAATCTCCTAAGCCCGCCCTTTGGCCTTCCTTAAATCTCCTAATCTCTTCAGACTGCCTGTTGCCTTCCATAAAACTGCTAATCTCTTAAGACTTCCCTGTTGTCCTCCTTAAATCTGCTAATTTCCTACGACTGTCCTATTGCCTTCCTTAAATCTGCTAATCTCTTAAGACTGTCTTATTGCCTTCCTTTCAATCTGCTAATCTCCTACCATAGCCTAGAATCTTGAGCTACCTCCATTCTGAATGTAGATTTATAGCATTGACTTTTGATTTGGAGGTTTTGGTATTTGCTACTGCTGTATCATATATAAAGATCAAGGCTGCAATAAGCTACCCTTTCTGATAAGATGGGAACGACTGAGTGTTGTGTATGTTCTCCTATTTAATGTCATGGCTGAACGGAGTACAGAGAACAACTGTCCAATTGTGCCAAGTAAGTTCTCATCAGTTTTGTTTGCTTTTGTTTAAAATACTGTGCTTCTGAAGCGAATTAGTTTATTGTAGTATTATTGATAGATTGCGCATCTTTTTCTAACTCCTCCCACCTCCTATACATACTATCATATCTATCTTTATAGTTAACCATTTATACAAATCTGAGTATAAAGAGCTAGAATATAACAATGTCTAAATGCTCTTAGATGTCACTGCAAAATCAACTCTATATAACATCTAACACTTTAAAATCACTGCAAAATCAACTCTGTGTAATATCCAACACTGTGATGTCACACCAAAATCAACTCTATATGACATCTAATTCTTTGATGTCACTCCTTAATCAACTTTATATAACATCCAACACTGTGATGTCACTCCCAAATCAACTCTATATGACATCTAATTCTTTGATGTCACTCCCAAATCAACTCTATATAACATCTAACTCTTTGATGTCACTCCCAAATCAACTCTATATAACATCTAACACTGTAATATCACTCCCAAATCAACTCTATATGACATCTAATTCTTTGATGTCACTCCCAAATCAACTCTATATAACATCTAACTCTTTGATGTCACTCCCAAATCAACTCTATATAACATCTAACACTGTAATATCACTCCCAAATCAACTCTAAATGATGTGTCACTCCCAAATCAACTCTATATAACATCTAACACTTTGATGTCACTCCCAAATCATATAACATCTAACACTATATCACTCCCATCTAATTCTTTGATGTCACTCCCAAATCAACTCTATATAACATCTAACACTGTTATATCACTCCCAAATCAACTCTATATGACATCTAATTCTTTGATGTCACTCCCAAATCAACTCTATATAACATCTAACTCTTTGATGTTACTCCTTAATCAACTCTATGTGACATCTAACACTGTGATGTCACTCCCAAATCAACTCTATATAACATCTAACACTATGATGTCACTCCCAAATCAACTCTGTGTAATGTCAAACACTGATAACACACTCATATTATTCTTTGAGCCTATATAACCTCTTGAACCCTTCAAAATGAGTGCCAGAAGATGATGCTGTGTATTATATCAGAACTGTAAATCAAGCTTAAGTTAGTAACTGTATTTGTTGGAATAAGATCAAAACTAGCCTAATCTGGCGGGAACTATTCTGTTATTGGTGTGGCTAATATGTTGATAAATGTACGTTATGTCAGGTATGTTGACTTTTTCATCTTGATACACTAGGTATATGTGTAAAATAGAAACATATTTTATTGAGTTCTTACTATCTGCAGACAAACAATATCAAACCATCAACGTCATCATCTACTGGTTAGAATGTAATACTTCTAACTTCTTCCTTAACATTATGCACCATATATCATCTAAACTACATCTGCTATATCATGGGGAAAAAAACAAAAACTTCAACTGAAATAATTTCTTTTTGTGTGTTTATGAATGGGTGTATCTTGTGTTTGTTTTGTTCTTATTTAAAAAACAAAACAAAAAAACAATTGCTCTCTTATGTCTGAACCAAGGAAGTAAAGCTCTATGAACAAAAATAATTACCATACAGAGATCAGAAGTCATAGGGTCCCTAGTGTAATACCAGTGATCTACCTGTAACATCTATGGACAGAGTGTCAGACAGTGTGTCTGATGTTAGATCACTGGTCTATCTATAATATCTGTGAATAAGGTGCCAGGCCAGTTCCTATTGTAATATCACTGGTCTACCTGTAACATCTAGGGACAGAGTGTCAGACAGTGTGTCTGATGTTAGATCACTGGTCTATCTATAATATCTGTGAATAAGGTGCCAGGCCAGTTCCTATTGTAATATCACTGGTCTACCTGTAACATCTAGGGACAGAGTGTCAGACAGTGTGTCTGATGTTAGATCACTGGTCTATCTATAATATCTGTGAATAAGGTGCCAGGCCAGTTCCTTTTGTAATATCACTGGTCTACCAGTGTAAAATCTGTGGGCAAGGTGCCAGGCCTGTACCTAGTGTAATATCACTGGTCTACCAGTGTAAAATCTGTGGGCAAGGTGCCAGGCCTGTACCTATTGTAATATCACTGGCCTACCAGTGTAAAATCTGTGGGCAAGGTGCCAGGCCTCTACCTATTGTAATATCACTGGTCTACCAGTGTAAAATCTGTGGGCAAGGTGCCAGGCCTGTACCTATTGTAATATCACTGGTCTACCAGTGTAAAATCTGTGGGCAAGGTGCCATGCCCGCACCTAGTGTAACATCACTGGTCTACCAGTGTAAAATCTGTGGGCAAGGTGCCAGGCCTGTACCTATCGTAATATCACTGGTCTACCAGTGTAAAATCTGTGGGCAAGGTGCCATGCTGGTCCTTAGCATGATACACTCTCACTTTAAAATCTGGCAGGTGATTGCAGGTTTTGTTGAAATTTGCCTTTCCATTTTGATTGTAATGTAACACATATTTATCTTGATACGGTCGTGTTGTGTATATTAAATGATATCTTTCTTGAAGAAGTTTGTCAGGAATGTATACACTCTTGTTACAAGTGCTTTATAGTCAACTTGCAGTGGCAAAATCGTGAATGAGTGCTGAAGTCACATATACACTCTCATACAGCAACATGATGGCTTTAGGCAGTAAATGAAGAAAAAACAGATACTCTTTGTTATTAATCTGATGTTGCATGCTTGATAATTATTACAAGGCCAGACTTGAAGCCTTAGAAATCTGAAGAATTCTGATTTGTTGCTTTTTACAGTTCTCATTCACAATCATTTGTCCTTCAATCTCGTTTGGAACTCTTTGATAATTATACTGCAATTACAGTAAGGACACTGTTTGTTTGTAGTAAAATACTGAATAATATCAGGTTCACCATCTGTGGATTTTAATGTTACAGTGCTGTTCATGACTTGGTTGGAAATAATCAGGTGAAAACAGTAGACCAAAAAGGGAGCAGATTATAGGAAGTTGTAACATGGCAGTTAATTCATATAGATATTAATAGATTACAGTTAAACCTGTCTATAAAGGCCACTCAATGGAACAGGGATAAAATGGCCTTTAAAGATAATTAATTAGCGCAGTATAGAACAATCTGGCAGAATATTTAGTTTGTCTCAATTGTATTAATTTTTTTGTCTGGTGTGGAGTATTAGTACTTTCACTGGATGAATTGTAATAAATTGGGACATGAAATCTGTCATTCTGGTCAGGTAGTTGTTATATAAAAGGTGTGCTTTCTAGACAGGTATTTGTGATATAGGTGTTCATCCTAGACAGATACATCGTATTTGATGTATGAAGGTCCTTTCTAGACCGTTATTTATGAGATAATGTGTTTTCAAACAGGACTTTGTGAAATAAGATTTGGTCTTTATCGGCAGGAATTTGTGATATGTAAGCAATGGCCCTTCTAGACAGGTTTTTGCAATAGAACAGTTGGCCTTTATAGACAGGTATTTGTGATGTAAGAGATTGCCTTTACAGACAGGTGTTTGTGGTGTAAGAGGTTGCCTTTGTAGACAGGTTTTTGTGATGTAAAATGTGACCTTTATAGACAGGTATTATGGTGTAGGAGGGTTCTTTTAAAGACAGGTGTTTGTGGTGTAATCAGTATTCTTTATAGACAGGTGTTTGTGGTGTAATAGGTTGCCTTTATAGACAGGTGTTTGTGGTGTAATAGGCTGCCTTTATAGACAGGTGTTTGTGATGTAATAAGTTGGCTTTATAGACAGGTGTTTGTGTGATGTAATCAGTTGGCTTTATAGACAGGTGTTTGTGTGATGTATTCAGTTGGCTTTATAGACAGGTGTTTGTGATGTAAGAGGCTGCCTTTATAGACAGGTGTTTGTGTGATGTAATCAGTTGGCTTTATAGACAGGTGTTTGTGTGATGTAATCAGTATTCTTTATAGACAGGTGTTTGTGGTGTAATCAGTTGGCTTTATAGACAGGTGTTTGTGATGTAAGAGGCTGCCTTTATAGACAGGTGTTTGTGTGATGTAATCAGTTGGCTTTATAGACAAGTGTTTGTGTGATGTAATCAGTTGGCTTTATAGACATTGCCCTAGATTTCATGGTACATAAATGTGATCATGTAAATAAGGATACACACATGTATTAAATGTCCTTTTACATCCTGATCATGAAGGTATAATTTGATCAATATATTTGGATGGCTTTGATAAAAAAGGTAATATAAGACCACGATAATTTTGACCCGTGAAAACTGCCAGCTACACATTGCTTGTGGTACAAGAGGTGGCCTTTAAACTGAATTTATATGGGATTTGAATAGTCCTCTCCGATTCAGATGTTTACAACCATTTGCCCATGTTGTAATTATATAGTTCTGGAATAAGTGTATTATCCTACACTACAGCTACCCAGCTATCTTACCGGCGGACTAGTGATATTTCACAAATTACATGACACCCATATATATAATGTTTGTAAAGAAATCTTGTTGATGTTAATGGCCAATATACACAAGCAATCTTTTAAGTTTTTAATACAAATATATTTTAAATTCACAAGATGATTTATTGATATGGATGGCTATTATATAAATTGAGCTTATGAAGACATTTGTCTGCAGTGATTTTTAGCTGGCGTCCATAGTCTCATGGTAAAGACATATTTCACAGAATTTTGATTGCCAATTAGTGTGGTTATTACTTGTTATTGTCAGGTAAAGAGATCAAGTCTGTCGTCCAAGCCTTCTAAAAATAACTCTCTTGTGTATTAAAGCTAGACATTAAACCTAGGAAAACCAGGTAAAGAATTACTGAATTGAACCATCCTTATGAAAGGTCTCTAACAGTTGGTAGCCAACTTCAACTTATTGTACCCAAATCATCAACTTGTACCCAAACCAGCAGCTTTGGAAGCCTAACTTTTCTGTACTTCACCTTTTTGGACCCAAATCACCAGCAATGATAGCCAGACTTTCACTGACTTCCTTTGAACGCTAACAGTGAGTTCAACATGT